CATTCCGCGCACGCGCATCGACCCCCCTGTGCGCGTGTGGGCGCGCGTGCACTCCCTTGGTGAAATATCTGCATGTCTTTGCAAAGGTGGTGGGAGTGCTTGCCGCGGGGCTCGGTGATTCCGCGGTAAGAGCGTATGACTGGTCTCGCCCCAGGAGATGGCCCGCGCTCACTCCCGCCCACACACACACACACACACACACACAGCCTCGGCGGGCCGGGATTGGGGCCGAGGACCTCGTCGCAAGGGGGCCGGAGGCCCTCACACCACCCACAGGCTTCGCCCGGCCCCGTGTGCACGTCGGGTCGCCCCGGGTGGCCTGCCTCGGCTCAACGCGATTCCGGCGCACGCCACCGGGCGGCCGCCCCGGGGGATCCCCGCGCCAGCCTGCCCAATCCCTCGCCTCCGGCCGCCCGGCCGCCCGCACCCACACCCGCGTCCACATCCGCGCGCACTCACGTTCACCAAAATACTGCTCCTCAGCAGCCACAATCTACACACACACACACACACACACACCCGTATATTGCGTTGGCCAATAAAGCGGGCGTTTTTCCCGCCGGAATAGCGACATCAATATTTTGATGATGTCCCTCCCAGCCAGACGGGGTGCGGTGTGTGCGCGTTGATCCGGGGGGAGAGATCGCGTGCGAGGGCTATTCCCATTAACACAGAGGGCTGCCCGATCGCTGTCTCCCCCCCCCCCCCCCCCGGCCCCGGCCCCCCGAGAGCGGACCGCATGCGGACCCACCCCTCCCATAACCGAGCCCCCCCCCCCCCCCCAGAAAGCCCCGAGCGCCCAGAGAGGTCTGGCCAATCTGGCTGCTAACCGGTGGCGTTTTGTCCGGATATTGACTCCCCCGCCCCAGATCCCTTTCAGTGGGGGGGGGGGGGGGGCGACACACTCTCATTCCCTCCGGCCCCCCATCACCCGGCCGCACGGGGGACCACGGAATTCCTCCCTGCCTCGGGTCGCTCCCTCTCAAAGTATATATAAGTGGGCGCCCCCCTCGCCCTCTCCTCCGGAAGGTTCCCCACCACAACAACACCAGCCCCCCTTTGCCTCCACCCTGATCCTCTGAACCTGCCCCCGCACCCCACCCAGCTACAGAATCCCGCGATCCCCCCCCCCCCCCCCCACCCCCCCCCCCCCCCCCCAAAAACCCCCGGTCCCCAGAGAGGCCTGGCCCAACGCGGATGTAGCCGGTGGCGTTTTTTCGCGGATATTTCCCCCCCCCCCCCGTCCCCCTTCGGGGGGGGGGGGGGGGGGGGGCGACACACTCTCATTC